CTCTTCTTGTCATCGATTTCTCTTTCCGCGTCAAACCATGCCTTCGCGTCCCTTTGACTGCGTTGGCGACTTCAGCATCATTGCTGCATCCGAAAGGTCATACGTCTTCTGAGTCTCCTTGACCTGACGGATCCAACCGAGTAAGGCTTCTCGGTTGCCGTTGTAGTCGATCAGCGCTGACATTGCTCTCGAACTCGTAATCTTCTGATTCTGGTTGATGCGTCAGATTTGTAGCGGTTGTATTCCCTCGGTCCTTCTCTTCTTGCCGAGAGCCCCACCGGTCCTGCTCGTTTTGGCGAACTCGTGGATCTTCATGATTATCTGGTTGATGGTCAGATTTGTAGACGATTGTTTCCTCGGTCCCCTCTTTCTTGTTGTTGGATTGAACCCCACCTTCGTCCTGACTTCCCGTATCCGGTGGTATTTCGGTTGACCAGCTTTGATCTTAGTTTTCTCGGCCGTCCCCGTCTTTAAGGAGCTTGGAAATGAAAGCTACCTTCGACGGTGTGGACTTCACCGTATCCAGGGGCGGAGATTCGATTCGTTCCGGCTGTTGGATCTCAGTTTCCTTCTGTTTTGCCGAGCGTTTGAGAGTCTTGATTTCTTCGTCTCTTTGTTTAATTGTTTCTTGTAGCTGTCTCACGGTTTCATTTGCGTCCTTCCGCAGTTTCTCGTAATCGTTGTTTGCTTCGGTGACCTTTCTCATTTGCTCGAAGATTGTACTGGCCCTGTTATCAAGGGTCTTATCGAGATCCATTTTCGCTGCTTTTAGGATCTCAGCTTCTGCTTCCAATCGTGTAATACGATCCGCTCTGTCTGCGAGGGTCCTTCCTCTCGCTTGGCACTCTTCCTCAACTGCTTTCAGTTGGACTTTTAGTTCCGTAATTTTATCATCCTTTTCCATTGCGGAAGTAGCCAATCCGACTGATTCATCGCTCAATTTGGCGATCTCTTCTTTTGTTTTCATTTTCTGTCTTTCCTTCTTTATTCACGACTTCTAGCACAGTGACCCGTTCGTCACACCGTTGTGCTTCCTTCAACCACTTCTTTGCTTCTTTCTTTTGGTTGTCGATTTCGTCATTGAGTCGCTTGAATTCAGTTTTTGTTATTTCAGCCAGTTCAAGCAGTTCCTTTGCTGCTTGATCTCTCTGGCTTTCCGCTTCGTTGTGTTTCCTTTTCATCTCTTTTAATTCTGCTTTGTAACGTGTGACGAGGTCTTCCGTAATTTAAGGTCATCCTTCAGTTTCGAGATGTCAGCCGTCAAGCTGGTGACCTTCCGGTGAACTTCGTCGCATTTGCTAGAGATTCGTCACGTTTCGGCCTCCTTGACTTTGGCTGTAAAGGTCACGCTCATTTTTCAATTCTGCTATTTCCGTGACCTTTCAGCTGCTTCCTCGGACAGACCGTCTTCTTCTGCATGATATGCCTTCCGCGTCTCGATCTTCGACCATTTTCCTTAGATCTTCCGCTGCTTGTTTCTGAACTTCAAATCTGACTTTCCATTGTTGCGCTTCGTCTTCGAGCGTGACCTTTCTTCTCCATCACATACAGCCTTGCTTCGACTTCGATAGTTTTATTCCGTTGTTCTCGAATGGCAGCGAATGCTTGGCTCTCCTTCTCGTCAAGTAACTGCTCGAGTTCCTTGACGCTGCTAATCCATTCATTACGGATGTTTTTGGTGATGGTGACCTTTGGTCCGGTCGTCAGCTCTTCTGACGCCATTCCTTCAAAGGTCTCTTCTGGCTTGTCCTGGAGGTCGTATCAAACATTCCTTTCGTTAAGTTTGCCTCCTTCATTGCCGTGTGGAAGACATCTGTACCGTCGTTTCGTCTTCATCGTCAGTGTAAAACTTGTCACTTGACGTGGGGCTAGTACCGTTCTCTTCCAGCTGTTCTTGTAAGAACAGTGAGTTTTCCGAAAGGTCATCCTGTTTGACCTTTCCTCGTCGATCAGCTCGTTGCTGCTGACGGCGCCACCACCTTCGGTGACCTTTGACTGACTTCGTCACTTTCTCAACTTGGTCCGCGTTTTCCTCCTTGACCTTTTCGGCCGACCGTGCCATTCCTCCGGTCTCGGCCTTCAAGTCATCTTTATTCTGTCCATCCGTAGCCGTTCTCTTCGGTGACCTTTGACTGGTCTACCGTGCCGTCATCGGCGTGCCGTCCAGAGTTTTGACTACCATCACTCGAGCTCTCTTTGTTCAAGGTTTCCTTCAGAGCCTTTTGGTATGTGGCTTCTGAACCTTTGGTGTCCTTCCTCCCAAAGGTCTTCTGAGCTCGAGTTGCTCTTTCATGTTCCACTGGACGTGTGAACGGCTTTAATTTCCGCTCGTAAGGGTTTTCTGACCGTTCTCTCTGACTACCCGCTGAGACCGGTTCATTACCGTCTGTATCTTGATCCATGTCTTTGGGTTTATTGATGATCGGATAACTTGGACGATGCTAATAATGTTTCTGACACGTGTGTTAGATTACGTTACGCGACTTTTACACGTGAACAGTAAGCAAGCACTGGCTAAAGGTCACTCTAAAGGTTGCTCAACTTCGGTCAGAAATGTCTAGCCTGAGAATATTTTTCGATTTTATTAAGAAATCAACTTAGATTTCCTCAGAACGAACGTTATTTCTTCAGCTTTTAGCTTTTGCTAAAGGTCATCAATCTCGTCAAAATTTTTGGTAAAGGTCAACTTCTCGTCAGTTGGTTCAGAAAATTTTCTTGGTTAGCTACGTCACAATCTTGAGTGCCGTGCGCAAAAACTCCGCCTCCTTACGAAATCTCAGCTTCTAATTGGCTTACTTCTAAGCTAACTTTAGCTTTACGTCTGCGCCAATCACAGCGTTTATAAACGACCAATCAGGTGAGTTGTTTTTCAAATTATAAGGCAGAGTGACGTCACGTCAAAATCCGAAAATTTTCGCTAGCGCGCCGTGTGCAAAAGTGCCGCCTACTTTTCTGCTCAGCTCATCACCGACCAATCAGAATTGCAAATTTTACCCTTACGCCAATGGCGAAATTAATAAACGAAAATCTGACCTGATCGTCTCCGTGATCCAGAAATCGATCCTGCGCGTCCTTCCGCGAATCCTCCAGTTCCTCCAACGATTATACTGACTTCTCCTGGGCCAGTCGCTAACCCCTTCTGTCTCGATGCGACAGGACGCAGCGGTGCGTCGACCAAAAGACTTGCTGGCTGCGGGTCTTCTGTCGTGCCTTGACGTTAGCAACGACAGGGGCGCTCGACCTCCTTTTGGGGAGCGCGTATAATGTGTGCGCTCTACTCAGTAGAGACGCACCTGAAAACTCCACACCCGACAGCCAAAAGTGGCTTGCCCACTCGCGCCCCCTTCGGGCTTCTGCCTCTTGCGGCGATCTTTTCGGCGCTTGTGCCCTCCGATCAGAGCTACTTCAGTAGCCTTGATCGCGTCAGGTCAGTACAGCGTGCTCTACTCAGTAGAGACACACTGGTGCTGATCTGCTGTCGAGATCCAAACGCTCCTTCGCCACTGGACCGTACGCGAGCCCTTTCTCGCGAGACTTCTTCCACACCTCGTCGGATGGACGGAAAAAACTCACAGATTATCCTGGAGAAACACGACTCTTGCTACCATATGAGCGTGGACCTGATGAAGGTTCACGCGTAGGAACAGAATTGACGGAATTCTGCCTACCAAAAAGACTAGCAATGCTATAAATACGCCTACGCTACAGAAAGCGAGAAACGGCGTGATTGCTAGAAATTTATAACCAGACTAAATTCGATAGAATTTCCTCGTGGACAACTCCGCATTGCTGACTGCAGCAAGCGTGAAAAGTGCGCACGTAGCCGCCACATGATGCGGGTGCGCGCAGAACACTATGCTTTCGCCACGCGTAGGCGGGCGTGCAACAAAACACAACAGACTGCCAAAGCGAGGGTGTACGCATGTACGCCTGCGCTCACAACCTCTTTATAAGAGTTACATACACCTTTCGCGGAACCGAATGTAGTTTTACCGGTGTAGAGAACCTCCGCACAACATTCAACTGCGGTTAAATATAATTGCATACAGTTACCCGGATGCAGTCACAAAATCGTCGAATAGTAGCGAGCAACGTTAGCAATGTTTCCGTACATGGTTGTTTGCGTAGATCTCCACAAAATACTCTTGTTTCACCGATCCTTGAGTCGCTAATGCTATTTAAAAGTGGACTCCTGATGAAAGCGTCAAAGTTACTCTGTGGAGGACAAACTGGAGATCATTAGCGGTTAGATTTTCGGACATCAGTGAATGTAATGGCATTTGTTTTGTACTTGTTACATCAGCAGGGCGAAATCCGAGGGAAACCGAGAAACGGCTGAAAAAGGCGCCGATGGGGGAATCGAACCCCGGCTACGTCGTTAGATCCGCGTAAGCAGTACCATCGCACCACGGCGCAATACGTTGAAATCATTTGAAAGATTTTGTCGCTGTACGTGAACCGCTTCTCTCCTCACAATACTGTCTTACTGTTTTTGTATTTATTACCCGATCTTCTCGAAACTTTGCTATAAAAGACACATGGCTATGAAGTCGAAAGAATCCATAGCATTTTTTTCCGATTTTAAAATGAATTTCAAAAATTTTATATGTCTTTTATAGCAAAGTTTCAAGAAGATCGGGTAATAACCAGACTTTTGGTACTCAACAATGCATTTAAACTTTTCGCCCATTTTAGTACGCCATATCTCGGCAACCAGATGTTGCCCGCGCAAAGGCTTTTCAAAACAATGCATACAAATAATTTAGCTTTAGATTCAGTTTAGAATGACATAATGTATTAAAAAATGTGATTCGGGGTGCGCGAAAGCGAAAGTTTTAGTGTATGTATCCCAATTTTTGACGCTATGTACCGGGCCGTTGCCCTTAAGGTACCATCGTGTAGCATCTTTTAGGACGAAATATATGAATTTGTTGATCCAAAACAACAAGTGTTTATCAGCGTCATTGAAAAACACGCCCAGTCTCAAAACATTATAGAAGAATTTGTCAGCGTCGTCCATTGCGGTCTCAGAATTTCGATCTTGGACCAAATTAGCTGTCGACGAGGTTCGAACGCCGGACACACGAAAAGGCCTGTGCTCCTCCGTATCCACCGTCTCACAGCAGGAGCATAGTCGCTTGTCGTGCGCAGTTCCATCCCATCGTCCAGTTTCTGTCCGAAAATGATGACCCGAAGTAACCAGGGTAAACAGAGCCTTCAGGAGGTATGGAGGAATGGGAAGTCGAGTCATAGTGAATAGTCTTGTTTGATACACCTGTGTGAGTCCGAACCTCGTACGCCAAGGCATGTACTAATAAATTAGTAATAATTATTATTACAGTACAGATAAAACAGTTATACGAGTGTAGTATGCAGATACCTGCATCATTGCAAATTGGTTTTAGCTTTATCGACTATGAACTAATATTTACAATTGTAATCTTTAATTCTTTAATCTTTAATTCCGTCTAATCCTTAATTGATACAATTAAAGACTAAACGGTCGCGAGTTCCCATAACGAACATTCCGTGCGCATGCGGCGCAGTGAACAGTGCGACAGCCGTATATTTGAACGTAATCGTACAGTGCACTACGCCACTTGCGCAAGGAATGCTCGCTCGGTATTGGAGCGCGTGACCGTTTGGTCTTAAATTGTACGTACTCGTATCTTGGAAAGAAGAAAAATGAACGTGAAAAGGTACAACACGGTCAGAGTTTTTACTCCTAAGCACTGCAAATAATTAGGGGTTGAACGAATTTTAACTTTTTTGTTGAATCCTCATCCTTTTTCCTGAATGGCTTGGTAACAAGGAAGTGCGTTGTAGCCGTATATGTAAGTACAGACTACAGATAAGGAATTTAGTGGTCAAGCTCACTAAATGCGGCGAATTATGCTGCATGCGGTTGTTCTGGCGCACAGAAGCTGACCTCGGCAAAATCGACATATCCCTAAACTCAAGGTTGGTTTGAAAGTCTGAATGTGAAATGTAAAAACACCTGAGACGATTAATAGTCAAGGAAACGCGTTATTCCACAGATGGCATGTGCACGAATGCCTTTTAAAAAATCTGGTGCTCATTTTTGACGTTTGAGTGTACTTTCAGTCGGATTCACCTTAGCCTGCATCAACCTCGGACGTATCCGCGACGGGCAACAACAAAGAGAGGGTCAGCATGAGCAAACACTTCGGAGGCAGCCTGGTAGCCACATCGTTTTTGACGTGATCGATGTTTTTGGGCTTTTTTTTCTTCCATCTACACCAACAGTAATGCCGCACCGTTTTAACTGTCATCATTTGAAAGCGTTTTCAAGCTTTTTGTCGAACATTTTACCCATTTACACTCACAGTTCATAACACAGCGGAAAAAATGTCCAGATCCCAACGCATTTCTTTCGTAAATCGCCCTCCGTCAAAGAATCAAGCCAGGTTAGCATGGCTCTGATTTTGCTATTGGGAAGTGTGGGACACCCCTCTTCCAGCGCTGATTGAAAGGCTGCCGGCTACGTGCATGTTGTGGACTCCGTAAACGTATACTTCCAATAAGGAAATGCAAAAACGACCGGCTCCTTATAACATGCTAATGAGCGAAAGGACCGGGTGTTGCGGAGTCGATGGTCCTCAGGACACTTGTACGATATCGACGTAAAACACATTGACAGCCTGCTATTAAAGCAGCAGTTCTTCAGCTACAGGTGGCGCAGCACAGTGGCATAATCGGCCTCCGGCTGAAACGTGGTTTGGAATGTAGCAAAATCATCTTTCGTTCGCAACATAGGCCAGTATACCCAGGATAGATTAGGGAATTCTATAAACTCGTGAAACTTTAGGACGGAATTGTCAGCGATGATCAACCAATCGAGTTTCACGCGCAGAAACGGTAGAATAATGTTCGCCAGATGGTGCAAACATTTCTCCCAGTTACCGATGAGGTAAATGATTTTGGTGTTGGCTGTTACTGTGCTGCACAGTTTGTACATTATGGTTGCACGGTCGCCGATAAAGTTAGACCACTGCTGTCGTGAGAACAGTATCAGAATATCGAGGATATCCATAGCATGACGTAGTAAGATCAGGCACTGTTGTATAATTTCGGAGGATAATATAGTAATTTGCGCATAGGCGCATCAGGGACTTACTTACACCGAATTCAGCGTGCATTTACATACAAAGTATGCAAAACCGCGCCCGTTTTCACGGCTTGCGTGTATGTTTGTCCGGGTTAACCCGGACAACGTGCGCAGAACAGCCAGGACGCACATACATTAATAGACGCTGCACTCACATTTTATGTTCCATGCAACATAACATTTCTTTACAACGAATATTGCTCTAACTTCATACCCGCGATCACAAGAGCGCCAAAAAGGCTTATTATAACTACAATAAGTTAGAAATATACGGTAACATAATACGGTTAAGTAATTGTATTTCTGGGTAGCCAGATCAATGCGGGAACCCGCTCTGCTACAGTATAGTGTAGTAAGCACATTTACTGCCATAAAATGCAAGCCAGAATTAAAACTAACTAAAATAAATCATGCCCATTTATATTTTATCCCATCAATATGAAATGAAATATTTATCCGACTTACTGTGCAAGGCTGTCTAGTAATAATAGTGGCAGTCGGGTGTTAAAGCGGAACAAGAACTGAAGTACAGAAGGCAGTCACCATCAGCTGCAGCTGGATAGCCAGCAAGCAGGATTCCCTGCGATACGGCGCCAACAAACTGTGCCGCGAATATTAAAAATTATCAAAGAAAGCCAAACAGATATTAAGCACATTTGGCCTTCTTTGCGAATTGTAATACGCAGTCGACAATCATCAAAGCTCAGGTTAAAAAAGTCCCAAAGATGAGAACCCATTTGGCTAAACAGTACTGTAAAGTTAAATTGACAATTTTTCTCTGGAATCCCAGAAATGCAGGCTTCCCTGCACTGTGGACATAACTATAAGGGTGTCAAACATTTACCACTATAAATCTCCATTTTATTAACAAAACTGAAACTTAAAGTTTAAAAAAAATAAAAATAAGAACTTGGAAAAAATCAGCAGAACGCGTTGTTTTACTGTGTTAACTCCACAAACAGCGGAAAGTATGGAGAAAAACCACGTGATTTCGAATTTTGCTATTGGTGGTGGGCAGCCTCGATCTAACTCAAAATGTTGACCAGCCAATCAAAATCGCAGAAAACCGAAGTTTGTAAGTAACTGGGCGTCGCTTAGACCCGTTACAAGGTACGCCTATCTGTGTAACGGCTTTCGTCAACGCCCCGCGACAGACTTCGAGCGAAAATGGATTTACATCGAAGCCCAGCCAATCATGCCTCTTTCGAGCTTCGATGTAAGTATGTAAAGGTTGAAATTCGATGTAAGTATGTCGCGATTGGTGTTGGCGCAATTGGTATAATAAGCGACGGAACCATTTACACGTCCTGAAGACAAAAATATCTGGATTGCCTACAACTGTGACCGGCAAAAATGTTCCCCCTGTCCCCCCGGACATTTTTGCCGTGTCCCCCATGCCACCATCTCCAAAACCGTACCTCTTTGGCCAGAATGGTGACATGAGGGACCTACAACGGAAAGCTGATTTTCAGGTCAATCGGTGACCTTTAAAAAGCTGCCACCAGCGTTACCACAGCGCTACCAGTCTAAAACAGGTGAGGGGCACTGGTTACCGTAGGGATATTATTGCCATAACAAACTTCCAGGTCTGCGGCATGGGGGACATCATTGCCGGAACAAAATTATTGGTGTCCGGCATGGGGGACATCATTGCCGGAATGAAATTACTGGTGTCCGGCATGGGGGACATTATTGCCGGAATGAAATTATTGGTGTCCGGCATGGGGGACATTATTGCCGGAATGAAATTATTGGTGTCCGGCATGGGGGACATTATTGCCGGAATGAAATTATTGGTGTCCGGCATGGGAGACATTATTGCCGGAATGAAATTATTGGTGTCCGGCATGGGGGACATTATTGCCGGAATGAAATTATTGGTTGTCCGGCATGGGGACATTATTGCCGGAATGAAATTACTGGTGTCCGGCATGGGGACATTATTGCCGGAATGAAATTATTGGTTGTCCGGCATGGGGACATTATTGCCGGAATCAAATTACTGGTGTCCGGCATGGGGACATTACTGCCGAAATGAAATTATTGGTGTCCGGCATGGGAGACATTATTGCCGGAATGAAATTATTGGTGTCCGGCATGGGGGACATTATTGCCGGAATCAAATTACTGGTGTCCGGCATGGGGGACATTATTGCCGCAATGAATTTAGTGGTGTCCGGCATGGGGGACATTATTGCCGGAATGAATTTAGTGGTGTCCGGCATGGGGGATATTATTGCCGGAATGAAATTACTGGTGTCCGGCATGGGGGACATTATTGCCGGAATAAAATTATTGGTGTCCGGCATGGGGGACATTATTGCCGGAATGAAATTATTGGTGTCCGGCATGGGAGACATTATTGCCGGAATGAAATTATTGGTGTCCGGCATGGGGGACATTATTGCCGGAATGAAATTATTGGTTGTCCGGCATGGGGGACATTATTGCCGGAATGAAATTATTGGTGTCCGGCATGGGGGACATTATTGCCGGAATGAAATTATTGGTTGTCCGGCATGGGGGACATTATTGCCGGAATCAAATTACTGGTGTCCGGCATGGGGGACATTATTGCCTAAATGAAATTATTGGTGTCCGGCATGGGAGACATTATTGCCGGAATGAAATTATTGGTGTCCGGCATGGGGGACATTATTGCCGGAATCAAATTACTGGTGTCCGGCATGGGGGACATTATTGCCGCAATGAATTTAGTGGTGTCCGGCATGGGGGACATTATTGCCGGAATGAATTTAGTGGTGTCCGGCATGGGGGATATTATTGCCGGAATGAAATTACTGGTGTCCGGCATGGGGGACATTATTGCCGGAATAAAATTATTGGTGTCCGGCATGGGAGACATTATTGCCGGAATGAAATTATTGGTGTCCGGCATGGGAGACATTATTGCCGGAATGAAATTATTGGTGTCCGGCATGGGGGACATTATTGCCGGAATGAAATTATTGGTTGTCCGGCATGGGGGACATTATTGCCGGAATGAAATTATTGGTGTCCGGCATGGGGGACATTATTGCCGGAATCAAATTATTGGTTGTCCGGCATGGGGGACATTATTGCCTAAATGAAATTATTGGTGTCCGGCATGGGAGACATTATTGCCGGAATGAAATTATTGGTGTCCGGCATGGGAGACATTATTGCCGGAATGAAATTATTGGTGTCCGGCATGGGGGACATTATTGCCGCAATGAATTTAGTGGTGTCCGGCATGGGGGACATTATTGCCGGAATGAATTTAGTGGTGTCCGGCATGGGAGACATTATTGCCGGAATGAAATTATTGGTGTCCGGCATGGGGGACATTATTGCCGGAATGAAATTATTGGTTGTCCGGCATGGGGGACATTATTGCCGGAATCAAATTACTAGTGTCCGGCATGGGGGACATTATTGCCGGAATGAAATTATTGGTGTCCGGCATGGGGGACATTATTGCCGGAATGAAATTATTGGTTGTCCGGCATGGGTGACATTATTGCCGGAATGAAGTTAGTGGTGTCCGGCATGGGGGACATTTTTGCCGGAACGTTATTGCCTTCTCACTGTTTTATTATGGAAGTAGAGAAAAAAAATCGTGAAATTTTATAACTTTTGCTGCATGACTGTGGACCGGCTGCGGCTTTATTGTATTCAAATTTTTCGTAAATCTGAAAAGTTCTTCAGAAACCTTTGATATGTTGGCCGTATATTGGTCCACCCAAAAACGAACTAAAACGACAGCAGGGGTGAAGTGTATTTAATGTTACATTGGTCAACACTCAACTATAACATTATTTTAATCTGGGAAATTCTGTAATAATTAAGGTGTCTGCAGCCGTATGTTTCGCTTCAGACTATCTGTAGCCTATAATTTACTTTTAAGTGAATTCACTTATAAGTAACTTCGTTTGCCTATAGGCATGCGAACTTAATACAGCGCTTTCTTGCAACCATAGCAGCTCTTTAACGGTTTCTGTTGTTCTTCTTGCTTCGTATATGGATGAAACTTGATTGCGAATCGAATCCAGCATCGTAAAAACTGGATGCTTTGTTTAGTCAGTAAGGAATGCCGCCGCATTTAACTGGATGAAGAATTGGTGGCTTCTGGTGTATTCATTAACGTCAATGACATAATACTTTGTATTAGTCAACATTCATGGAAATGATAGTGGTACTCGCACTGTTACTGCTACTGGTAGCGAGAACGGTTGCTGATTCTGGTGCTGGTTAAGATAGTGGAGCCGTCTATGGTACTGGTAGTGGTTTCAACTATTGTACTGACATGCCAGTTGTGTTATCGACACTCGCCATGATAAGAAAAGTACAGCTTTGCTACCGTTATAATTTAAAAAAATCTTTACGGTACATACAGATACTGTAGCCGCCGGCACGTTGCAACGTCGACTGGCCTGGTCGCTTTCTTCTTCCTGCTATGCACGCACTGCGCTGAGCGCGTTGTAGCGTTTAAGTATCCGTACATATCCCTCTGAGATACAACTCGTACGCGACGCTGCCGTAATAAATTGCTCGATTTAGATTATATTTCGCGTGCTGACCTTTGCCGGCTTAGTTTGATAAAATGCTGTGCAATTTATGACATATTCGTTTCACCTGTCTTCAAAAATTACTGAACTGCAAGGCGACTACAATGAAAAGTACAGTAGTTAGTTGATCGTAATGCGTCAAGTGCATTTCTTGCAGACTCTTGTCCATGCAGCAAAACGTGTGCTCAGCACAAATGAAAAATTGTTGCTTCAAAATTCCAAATGCTCCCCCCTTTTAATTACTCTATTTACACAAAAGTAAGAGTATTTATACAGCCGTTAATTGCTGCTTGTTGCTAAAAAATTTCCCATACTCTCCTCTTTCATTTTTTATACTGCTGTTGTTTAATTCTTATGTTAAAAAACATTTTTTTCCACGACTGATTTTCAAAATCATGAAATCATTTATGGCTCCAGTTTGTAATCCCAAAGTTTTTGCTCCCTTCAAAACTGGATATTACAAGGTCGAAATTTCTCGGACCCTCTTGGGTTTGCTTGTAAATAAAACGACAGCTAAACCACTCTTGTTTCTTTTGAAAAATTTTACTTTAAACGAACGCACCATATCCACTTCGAAAAAATAGTTTTCAAACAGTGATTAAGGCAGTGGTTTAATAATTTTGTTTAGAGCCATTTCAGGTTTTACGTTAACGTTAAAGACTTCACTAGCAATTCATATTTTTTTTCGAAAGGTATTCTGTTTCAGAGACCACACAAAATTCTCCGTTATTTTTAATGCTAGTGCCTTCTGTGCACGACTCGCTGCTGTTCTACGTACGTGGTGTGCCATAAAAATACAATGGCATTCTGCCAACTTGCCGCGGGGGGGGTGCTCAGGCTGCATGTAAAATGCTATGCCGATTACTCACAATCTATTTCATAAAGACCTACCCAGTAGTGTCAAAAAGTACGGATACTTGTAGCCATATAAGAGTGCTGTGCTGGTTACGAAATATTCCGCGGTATGTTCATTGATAGTTCAACGTTAAATTTTGCTTCATTATTTTTACACCACACGCAACCGATAGTGTGCGTCCGTCGGTCATTGCCATCTGACTCTAAGTGGGCACAGTGGCTGTTTAAACTCACGACTTGGGGCAACCGCGTATCCTATTTTTTTACCGGTTAGGCGGTACCCATTTTATCACTGCTATATTTATTGCTAAAATGGTTTCAAACACTGCAACGGTGAAATCTCTCCATGAAATGCAGTACAAAGGCTGGAAGTACGGAAAAAGTCGCACCTGCGCGATGCGGCAAGCACAATACCGGCAAAGACGGGTTGTGTCCTGGCTAGTGGCTTAGTAGTAGTGCAGTTATACTATTTATGTCGGGTGCCTAAACGTACTACAATGTTACGTAGATGAAATGCCGTGCAGCAATAAGTGACCCTTAATGTAGCAACAAGATGCTCATCACACATTCAGTCAGAGAGCAGCGCGCGCGTTTCAAATAGATATTCTTGTTTATTTACTGCTTCGTGACAGTATACACTATGTTTGGTCTTTAGGTTTGTGTAATACAGGTTTTATGATTTTCAAATATTTTTATGTTTATGCGGCAACCTAGCAAAGCTTTGTGTTTATGCTCGTGCGGTGAAGCCATATGAAAAGATACACCTAACCAGATTCTACGGCCGTTCGCTATTGCCGATCGCTTTTAAGTGCAGGTTGCAGATAGATCGTAGTGAGGGAAAAAATTGCATTTTTTGCCCAGAAAAATTGAAAAATTTCAATGCCTTTTTGGACCAGTGTCAAAACGCCGCCAGAAATTTCTGCCGATCAAACTTTGGTATGGAAAAGAAGCGGCAAGTTTGCAAAAAAGTGTAAAGTCGACTCGACTCTGCAGTGTGTAAAAATACTACTGAACATTACAACTGCTCGCACATTGGCAACTTGGTACTAACCCTTGTTTGGAAATCTAAATTACGTTCGATTACCGCAGTTTTTCTAATTTCAAAGTATCTCTAACATTGTACTGGTACAAAGGTCTGTTAAACCGGTAAAGTTTAATTTCACTATTGTTAATAATTAATGATTCATAGATAGACGAAGATTTTCTCCGTTATAATCGTCTGTGTATGTGAGTGTTGCCCACAAAACATTCGGACGTTATAGGTTGTACCAATATCATAAATGAACGCAGAAATTGTTACCGCTACCAGTAGTATTACAAGGGACTAAATAATTTAATAAGCAAGAAGCCGTTGCCTATCTTGAAAACCTCGTCTCAGTACTCAGTGGTACTAAGTTTAACACTGTACAGCAATAAGCTGGGGACTTTTCAGGAGCCAGAAATTATTATCAACTCTGCATCTCGGAACGTTTCCACGAAGAAGCAGCAAATATAAAAACTTTGACACGGCAAACATTATGTGAACATTAAATGATTACAGTCAAATTACAGACTGTACGCTAACGCAAGTTTCTGGCGCAATACAAACGTTCGTAGTAGGCTGCAGGAAATTACCACCATAAAAATTAAATCTTTTCGACATTATTGCGCATTTGCCATATATTGCGCATTTGCCATATACCAAGAAAGTCATTGCGGCAATAATGTACCCCATGCCGGACACCACTAACTTCATTCCGGCAATAATGTCCCCCATGGCGGACACCAAAAATTTGATTCCGGCAATAATGCCCCCCATGCCGGACACCAGTAATTTCATTCCGGCAATAATGTCCCCATGCCGGACACCAATAATTTGATTCCGGCAATAATGTCCCCCATGCCGGACACTAATAATTTCATTCCGGCAATAATGTCTCCCATGCCGGACACCAGTAATTTCATTCCGGCAATAATGTCCCCCATGCCGGACACCAGTAATTTCATTCCTGCAATAATGTCCCCCATGCCGGACAACCAATAATTTCATTCCGGCAATAATGTCCCCATGCCGGACACCAATAATTTCATTCCGGCAATAATGTCCCCCATGCCGGACACCACTAAATTCGTTCCGGCAATAATGTCCCCCATGCCGGATACTAGTAATTTCGTTCCGGCAATAATGTCCCTTCGGTGACTGATGTCCTCAGCTGTTTTGGACTGGTAACGCTGTGGTAACGCTGGTGGCAGTTTTTCAAAGGTCATCGATCGCCCTGAAAATCAGCTTTCCGTTGTAGGTCCCCCACGTCACCATTCTGACCATAGGGTTACCGTTTTGGAGATGGTGGCAGGGGGGACACGGCAAAAATGTCCGGGGGGACAGGGGGGACATTTTTGCCGGTCACATACGACGCGCATTGCCGATACGGCGACATCGTAGCAAAAAATGAGTATGCTGACTACAGCAATACACCGTTTCACAGAGGAACGACTTTTTGTGTGACCTCCTGAACGGCTTTGTTCTGCAGCTATAAAAAAGCACAGGCATCGGAACTACTGTGAACTTTCGTCGCCACTCTCATATTTGCTAGAAAAACGCTTAGGAAATTCCCTTAAAGGAAATTGGGCGAATACCGCACCTGCGAATCTGATGTTGATCAAAAACATATAGGAGAATACAGCCAGATGCAGCTCCGCAAAAAGGTCACTAAACCGCAATTCATTGGGGTCGTCCAGATCTACAAATAGCAAGTACATACCTGTACATCACTACATTGCACTGGAGAATGTTTAGCAAATTTACAGTCACAGGCATGTACCCTGTACAGCTATACAGATTTCGCTCGACATCATAATAAAATTACGATGTCGAGACGCTTGGGACATTTGGATTGGCTTTCTCGGAGCCAATCCGTTTCTTCGGCCGCAAGATTCGTGTAATTTCAGCCTTTTTGAGACAAAGTTTAAGTTTAGCTGTAGTCAGAAGGAATGCAGCGACTGTTTTGGGTACATTTAACGCGCGTCCTAAACTCACGAAAGACGCTAATGATTTTGGATGTTTTTTCAGTTTTTAAAATTCGGAACTTTTATTAGTGTAAACCCGCGCAGGCGTATTATTATGTGTAATGGCAGATGCCGATAAAAGGTTCACTTAATTTCGCTGTCAACATACATCGCTACAAATTTGTGGGCGCAACGCCCCGGTTATTGAGATATGGCGAATTAGACTGGGCCAAAAAGTCGAACGTATAGCCAGGGTTTTATGAAAACTTTCAGCAACTTTGTTGAAAAAGGCACAACAAAACTACAATGAAGACGATTCTGAACGAATCAATAAAACTAGATTTTCAAATTAATTTGACAATCTTGATTTCTAGTTTCGGAACGGTAGAGAATCTTTTATGACAACCTGCAAGGTTTCGTGTCACGGCAATCTACAGAGTAAAGTACATTGGTTACTTACGTTCCATGCCCACAATAACGCTCAGAAGTTTGTCCACCATTCTGCCCGCAATCTTCAGGGTACCCGTCGTTAGTGAAGCTAGGAACCGCTGAATGGCGTAGACCGCATACTCCGAATACGCCATTCCTCGGGTCCCTGGGTGCGACTTTTCGCGACTAACACGGCAACACACTCATCCACAATCCCGAGAAACATTATCTGCCTCATTGCACCACATCTCGTCAGGAACTGACTCCGGAGGTGTGGCATGTCCTTGATGCGTTGCAGTACATTCGCAATATCCGGGATTTTCTTTTGGAACTTGCGCAAAGAGATTAGCACCCGGCGAAAGGACTCCCTGGTAACGGGGGGCCCCAGTGGTCCCGCCCGACGTACACGTTTCAGACACGCATTATTCCCGTCCCACACGCGGTACTTTTTGACCGTGTCATTCGGCAAGATCACCTCGACATTCAAGAGCTTCAAATTCTCGTAGCAAAAGAGTTCAGCGGAGAGTGCGGGATGCCATGATTCCGGTTGGTCCTCGTCAGTACTGACCAGGACATCTATTCCTTTGACGATTTCATTAACCTGGATGCTGTAACTGGAATGTTGACCTGATAAGCCCACCCTGCGCAGCTTTCTCATGGGGACAAGTCGCAGCTGCTGCATGGAACCCATTCGCACCCAACAGTGGTCATTTTCCACTCCACAGACATAGCCACAGTATATGGTCCTGTTATCGCCTCCAGTGTCGTCCACAACGTCGACAATAAATCGACTGTAAACATCCGTTGCCAACGGAGTTGTGTGTATTCGCGCATACAAAAATCCTCCATGATAAATACCGATTTTGCCCGGAAAATTTGGTTGGTTTTTTAAATCGTTTACATCATATGACAAGCATAATCCTCCTGGAATCAGATGTACAACATCGTATTTCCACTGCCTCTGGCTTTACAGCTTGACCTGCATGCTGTGCTATTCGGTGCACTGTTCGAACGTTACCATAATATACACTGTAGACTGCGATCCGTTCCCTGTATACATGTGCTGAATTGACTAAGAGCAATGAAACGTTCAGTTAGCAACAAAGATGGTGGTTGAGAGGAAGTAAGGCTCACGGTCAATCGATACGAAGTGGAATGCGGCTGGGTGGTATCGATCCTCCGCGTAAGTGCACGTAAATCCTCATTTTAGGCCATAGGCTACCTTGCTGTATCACAAGCTGTTGCTGTACATTACTGTACAGTGTAAAGCTGTAGTGTACTGAAGGCACTAAACCTATCGACGCAGGAAAGTGGAAACGTATCATTCGTAGTCTAGGACGATGCATGAACAAAGCGCACGCTTGTGGGATTGACTGCGAAGAATCCGTTTTCGGAGTGAGACCTGAAACGTTTTATCGTTTGACGAAAGCGAACGTCGGTTCTAATATTACAGTTTTAGGCATTCGATTTACGACTGTTTGTTGAAATAATTCGTACGTGCTCGTAACCAAAACAGCAAAGTCATGACAAAAATAGTACTTTGGATAAATTTCTGTTAGGGTCCTGTTTTTATGCACAGACATATCCTACTTTGAGGTATCAAGATTCTAGATTTTTTGGGTATCATAGTCCAACATTTTGAAGAGCCAAAGATTAAGTATTTGCTTTGACTTGGATCTGGATAAAAATTAAAACGGTGTAAAAACTTCTGTGCTTTTTCCTCTAATTAAGCGTTGCACTTATGGTACGACAGGCACGTATAAGTAATAAGTTGGAGCACTGATAATCGTAATAAGCTGGAGCACTGATAGTGTACAACAATAGCTGTTCTGATCGCATTGTTTCAGTTTTACATTTAGGTTTCATTCAGGGTTGCTCCTGATAAGTTAACGTATCGGAAGCGGTAATAATACCACATACGAAGTAAAGGAAAATCGTACCGTATTTGAGCCAACATCATGTACTGCCTCTCGTCCTCCAATTCGAGCTGAAAGACCGGTTAACGGTTGCTGACACATTTTCGAACTCGCAAGCGCGTCGACTGCTGTATATAATAAATATTACGGCTTTTCGGAGAACAGTTCTTTCCCGTTTACATGGATTGTTTTCCAGGAACCGGCACAACGACGACGGGGAATATCGAACGTATAATTATTATTGATAAGATCACAGAATGCGATCGTTTAATCTCGTCAGAGACGAATGTTGATCAGATCCGTGCGGACATTGTCCAGCTGTTGTTCTATCTCGGGCAGCAGGCTGAAATTCATCACGGCTATAAAAATAGCGCAGCATGGCAGACATTGTAATCGACTTATGAATCACCGTACGCGGAAAAAAACTGGGTAAGCGAAGTTTAGAAGCGTACTTATCTCGCACTTATCATGGTTTGCAGCGTGTTGAATATCACAGAATCAAGAAATTTTTCCTTCGCTGATTTGTTCCGCGTCAGTCGGCACTAGTCCGATCCCGTCGTGCTGTGCTATCGCAAATTGTGTGTTGCAGAGCTTTATCGCCTACGCGAAGCGGCTTTTGGAAGAAGCTATCAGGAGGATGCCGTCAGTGCAGCTGTGACAAAGGAAATTGCAAGGCTTCCAGTCTATCTGCAACGGTAAAGTTGTTCCCCGTTGTTTTTGGTTCGAAGAAATTTCACTGAAATATCGTGTACTAAAGATAATAAAAATATATGTACTTAACGCTCACACAAGTGTCGCCTTGTAAAGATATACCGATAAAAAAATCTAAGGATTGTTTTGTGTAGGATAAACCAGACTTCATATTCAGCATTCACTTACTCGATTTATATTGCTGCTACGTTTGCCGCACAAAGGTAAAAGAATACAAGTCGCCAGAAAACAGGCATTAGTTAGCAACAGGTCATACCGTAACCTAACCGATTTTTCCTTGTTATATACCTGAATTACCTACGTAATATTTAACTAACTAGCGCTAGCGATGATGCCTTCTCTAATTGTCCGTAGCAAAACAGTCAATTATCATCCTCGTTCGCACTTGCAAAAACCCAATTGGATCTTTTCCGATAGCTCCAGCCTACGCCATGAGAAGAAAGCCTTTCTGCAGAAGATCCACAGAAAGGCCAAGAAATAATGGTGCTTGAGGAAGGTAATCGCAGAACAGGCAGCCGCCATGGACAACATCTGTTCCAAAAGCGGACTTGGCAGCATCTCTCGTGCGCTCTTGAAACAATAACTTATTGTCACAACCTATGAGCAATAACTTATTACTGAAAGGCGAAAAGTTTTACCTTTTTACTACTGTAGGATACTTTACTTGCTTCGGAAAAGTGACGTATAAATTTCCTATTTTCGCTCTTTTATTCACCGTGTATTTATGTGATGTATAGGTTTTCTTAAGCGGGACATTGATAGTATATCGCAGCAGCAGTTTCTGTTATCGCATTATTCAATAGTTTTACCATGCGACTTCATGATTGTTCATGATAAGTTGGCGTATCTGTCGTATCATAAGCTGTCAAGTAGTGAAGGTACATGTACGGCAGGGTGCTCATTGTCAGCGAAAACAACATCGTGCTTTTTTAAAATTTAATGGAGCTTAAAGATTGGTAAGCTGGCTTATTTTTGAACTTGTCACCGACGTTTACCGATACCGGTCACTCAGCGTGCATCTGTATTACCATTAACGCTACAAGAATTTATTGTCATGACTCGTGAAAAGGATGATGGAGAATGGCAAACCTCCGTTGTCGATAAGATCGCAACTTATGACCGTTCCATCTCGTCGGAGACGGATGTTGGTAAAATCCGTATGGATATTATTGACCTGTTGATATATCTCGGGAAGCAAGCGGAAATTTATAACAGCTACTGGCGGGCTACAAGAACAGCGCAAAATGGCAGTTGCTGAGATCGACTTATGATGCAACCGCTGCCCGCAAAATCGGGGTGGGTAAAACTTAAAGCTACGTACGTATACATACCTATAATCTATTCACATGGTGACTGCAAGGAGATTTTGATGAGTCTTCTAAAAATTTATACTGAATCCTAAAAGCTTTCTCAAAATTCCGTGTATCTTTGCACACTGACCGTTTACCTATAACAGTTTACCTATAAGTAATGTTGTAAGTAAGGTATATATAAAACGCCCATGGACCCGATGCGTATTTGGAATTATTTGGGATATTGATAATTTTATATTTGGATTGTGGTACAGAGTGTATAGTTGCTTAAATGCCATAGAATCAAGAACTTTTCCGGCCTGGCCTTGTTCCTTATTCTCTTGGCACTTGGCCGAAGCTTTGTGGTATGTTATTGTCAATGGTGCGTTGAAGTGTTTTATTAGCGTAAATTTGTAACAGCATCAAGTAGGTACATAACCAGGTACTGTATTTTTTGAAAGAAGCTAAATCGGGAGGATGCAGTCGCTGCATTGATGACAAAGGGGAATGCAAGACCTCCAGCAGATCTGCAGCGGTAAAGTGGAACGAGATGCAACGAGATGCAACGGCTTCTAAGGATTAACACAAATAATATTCAAATATTTTGTGCTAAAAACGAGAATAATAAAATAATCTGCGGCTGAACTTTAGGATTTTGTAAGACAAAGCCAGACTGGATATCACATGCAGTACACTGACGAGAACAGTACCTTTTTACAGTCGTGAGTACAGTACCTGGTTATGTACCTACTTGATGCTGTTACAAATTTACGCTAATACCACCAACCAAAAGAGAACACAAGATTGCCAAAGAAAAGAGGTTTTCGATCAGCAACATATTTTGTGATTTTTTCCTTATTATACTCGTAATTGAAGTGATTTCCTAATTCAGGGGTTTAGGTACTTGGCGCTAGCGTAAAAGTTTAGCTAAATTGTGATAAGCAACGCAGTGTTACCGTTCCTGGTTCACGTTCGCTCACTAACTAACTAATCCTTTCCCGATAGCTCCAGCCAACGTCGTGCGACGAAAGCAGTTCCACAAGAGATCAACACTGCTTGGAGATCCAGCGCTTAACAGATATCATTGCGGAACAAGCGGCTGTCATCGACAAGTGACAACATGAAGAACGTCTTAAAAAAATCGACGACCATAATTTTCCTCCGCGACCCTCCCCTAATTAGCAAAGCGTTTCACATTGTGCGCCGCAGACAGAATTGTTCAGTAACCGCTGCAGCAATAAAGTGCGATTATCCTTTGTGTGTTTTGTCCGATCGTATACCTTACCTTCCAAAATTAACTTTACATTCTCTTTATACGTAGTTTATATGTCGATATATTATCTTTATTTGTTGCTGTTACGATAGTAATGAATGTCTATGATAAATATGCCCTTGAGCAGTTCCGGCATAACACTTCCGTTATGCTAGTTCACGTCTTGTTTACAAGTTCACATCTATGCGTTCTCATTACCGATATACAATTCTGTATATAAGCCGGCTACTGTACCGTTATGCAATATCGCTATGCAGCCTGACGACTGAGCAATACATGGATAATAAACGCTAACGCTAAACCACCATTTTGGTGGCTCCAGGGGCTCGCTATGCATTCTATCTGTATAGCACGGACCAGCGCCCGCTAACACTTTAACTGGTCGTTCTTGACCTTTTGTTTTTGCATAATGCTTATATTTTTGCTTAACGCTAATATCTTGGCTATGCCCGATGTTTCCGTTCAACATCACCAAACGGAAGAACGACGACCGCACGCTTATTGAAGAATCATCTGAGCACAAGCGCAACGCCCGTGATCCCGACCAAATTCCGGTCCCCGACTCGCCTCCTTCTGACCCGAAAGCAAACGGACCAGCAACAAGAAATCGTGTGAAACTTCCGGAACTCACCCTTCAAGAACAATACGCAAAATTGGATCAAGCCACTCGACCACAGAAAGATCTGACAGCCCCACCGGAACCAGCCATCCAAGCGCAACAAATTGCTGAAGAAAATCTGCAACAACCGCAACCAGGAAACGATCTTGCAATACCACCGGAGCAAGTTCCCGTGCAGCCAATTAACGGAGGATCACCACCTTGACAATCTGTACAGTCCCCGAGACGTAGTCCCACCTCGTCACGCTTCTTTCGGTACGGATCAAAATCTACGCCTCAATCCCCAGAACGCAACCTGACCTCGCCACGACGATCTGCAGCAAAATCCATAGAACGCAATCCAGCCTCGCCACGCACTATCCGGCGCGTAACGCCTGAAGCTTTAGCGAACCTTGACAACATCATTAAGGACGCAACGTTGAAAGCTTCGCGCATTCCGACACCGCCTCGACCACCAGTTCCCCACAAGCGCATTTCACCGGCTAAAACATCTTTCCTCAGTAATCAAGTTATCTAAATATTAAATTGCGTAAGTTGCGGCCGATCTGATTATGTGGATCTAGGAAGTGAACTACTGACGCGGGTTGTTGTTTCAGTATAGGCATCCAAGAGAGGGTTAATCCAAAAAAAAACTTGCACATAAACGACGAGTTCCATCATTACTCAACTTTAACTGAAATAACGAAAAAAAAACTTTAACGCTGTACGAGTATCGAATACTTGATCGTGTGCTGCGACGAAACACAAATTGAGTACGGATTGCACCAGCCCCAACGATCCAGTTCTCGGCAGTATAAAAACCACTGGAACGCATCGTAAAAGTACCTGGTGAACGGTTCATTCGTGACGATTAATTAAATTCATTGCGTTTGCGAATGGTTCTGGTGAATGCAACATTCGCAACAAACGAATATGTTAATTCATGGCTATTCTTCTCGTGAAAACGGGTTCGTTGTCGAACTGTTTTATGCTTTTTACAGTGCATGTCGCTGGTGCAACCGCATTAACTGCAACTATCGCACGGGTTCTGCTGTAACAGCTATGAGCATTCGCGGCGCGCCTTTACACCCAGCCAAATACTGGTCAGTCCCTTTAAATTATTACCGGCCAAACTTATACCGGTCGGCATTATCTGTCCTTATTTCACGGTGGCAGAATATTTTTAAAGATCCGTGTGGAATGATCGCAGAGTGTAAAGTGCTGATTTTCTATTGGGAATCGAGCTGCATTGTACCGCAAGTTGCGTTGTGCATCGCTTTGAAGACCTTTGTTGGGAAAACAAACGATGGGCGTCTACTGCATGGAATTTTATTGCGCGTTGCAAAGTAAAAATCCCTGCTGGCCACATGGCTTGGGTGAACGTCAAGCCGAGCCTAACAAGATTTCCTGATCGTGTAAAATCGAAAAATGGGCTGTTTCGCAGTTTGTCACAAGCCAACATGTTAAGTGCGCATACAGAGAATGTCAGTATCTTTTGGTATTAATTTCATCCTGTGCGACGCCTCGGATGGTTTGTTCCTTGGTAATGGGATCAACGGAGCAGTTTCCGCTTAGCCAAATCCATTAGCAGCGTGCTGCCTTGGAGGATTCCGACCAAACCGTGATCAGATGCCATTGTTCCGGTACCGCACATGGGGAATGCGTCGCCGTAACCTTTCCGTGCCATATCGTTTGTTTTTATTTTTACTCGTGATTTGCTGTATTTTACTGTTGTTTTGTTTTGATAAACGATACTATCAGATGGCGCTGGCTAAGCGCGCATCGTCCAACGACGGAGGAACAAAACGAACCCGGATGTAGGCTTTAATGCCGAAATCTGAACACACCCCGCGTTTTGCGCGCAAGCCAAGAACCAACTGGTCTCTGTAGGCAGCGCAGCTGCCTTATAGAGCTATCAAAACGCATGCAAATGCCAAGACAGGAAAAATCCCAAAACCAACCAATGAGAGAAGGGCTGAATCATAAGCCCGCCCTGACATCCCTGTACGGTCTAACATTGAGCTCCTGCGAAGTGCAGGTAAATGGCGTGATGCGCCGTAAAAGAACAGTGGATACAGGGACCGGTACGGTCCCTGTACTATGTCTAATAGACTGTACTACCGGGTGGCTCGGTTCCAGTTCGGTCGGCTCACGTGGTCCGGTATGGGATCTGGTTCAGTCAGGTTTGGTCCGGCTCGGTCCAGGTTTGGTCGGCTCGGATCAGGTTCGGTTTAGGAGTGGTTCTCGGTCGGTTTGGCTCGGGTTCGGTCGGTCTGGTTCGGCTTCACGCGGTCCAGTGCCTAGGTCAACGAACTGTCGCGCCAGAATCCAGGGTCGGATGCGGAAATCGGTAGATTCCGCATTTTATCCGTCTGGGGAAAGGTCATGGTCTGGGGAAAATCGGGCAGGGGTTTGGGGCACAGGTACGGCCATGACCCTGCAAACACAAAAATACGCTGCTCCGGGTAGGGAAAATCAGCTGCTCCGCCGGGGGAAAGGTTGTTGTCCCAGGTAGGGCGGGCAGGGTTTTGGTGGGGTGAATTTCTCGGCGTGGTGATGGTGGTCGATCCGGCCGTAGGGATCGGGGTTGGCATGGCTGTTGGTGGTGGTGAAGGGTCCGCAGGTTTCCTGCTGGTCCGGGTTGCGTCCACCGTCGGCATCCGTCATCGGTACGGTGTGGCTGTGGGTTTGTCCGTCCATCGCTGCACTTCTGGCTTGGCGATATCTCCATCCCTTTCTGGGAGAGGCAGTTTCCTCCGCGTTCTGCGGGAGTGACGGCACAGCTCCGGCGACTGACGGGAAATCCGGGGGAGCCGGGTGAGCTCCGTACCCGGGGTTGGCACAGGGCGCGATCACGCGATCTGGTCCACAACTCAGAGGTGGCCCGTGAGCGGGGCAAGCCCGCTGTGCAACATACGAACGTAACCACGATCTGCTACCATATCAGATGGCGCTGGCTAAGCGCGCATCGTCCAACGACGGAGGAACAAAACGAACCCGGATGTAGGCTTTAATGCCGAAATCTGAACACACCCCGCGCTTTGCGCGCAAGCCAAGAACCAACTGGTCTCTGTAGGCAGCCCAGCTGCCTTATAGAGCCATCAAAACGCATGCAAATGCCCAGACAGGAAAAAACCCAAAACCAACCAATGAGAGAAGGGCTGAATCATAAGCCCGCCCTGACAATACAATGTTTCAGTTTTCGCAGTGCTTCAAAATTCAGGAAAGGGAGTGTTATGTGACGTGCAGTCACGTACGTATACAGTTCGTCATGACGGAAAATGTCATGATTGTTCTACAGTAAACGTAAACATGTAACGAAAATTCCCGACTATTCCAAAGTAAACAAATAAACCTTCAACACAAATCACTGAGTTGAACAAACCAAAGAGCTTCAGAGAACATCATCTCAAAGGCATATGTACACGCAGTTAGCAAAGCCCTACCCTAGCTTAGTGGTGGCTCTTGATTAAATGACTTGTAAATAAGCTTCCTGCATAATCCACTCGTCAAAACGATCGTTAATGCGGAACCAACATTCGTACAGACCGGCATCTTTCCATGTCACGCTGGCGATTTTCATAGTGGAATGGCAGCGCGACTGCGGATTGATCCCCACCTCAAAACGCCCATAAAATCCCCACCACGACTTGGATTTATCGGCCAACTCCGCGATAGAGTCGGTTATCAACAGGTAGGTTCCACTGCGCCAGAGGAAGCGGTGCATAAGCTGTCCGCGTAGAAAGTTGAAGCGGACCGCGCAGACCATCTCCGCTGGGTCGCCGTAGCGCACGGTGATGTTCTTCATGGGCGGATCAAAGACCTCGTGGCGGAAGAGGGTCGCGCTGACCCAGTAGCGTTGCGTCACGACCAACTGGCTCCCGTTGGAGTGCAGACACTCGTACTGACCGGTGTGGCCGTACGTGAAGTTCTCCAACGCGATGGAGAACGCACCAGTCGCCGGATCGTACTCGCTTGCCCGCTTCCAGCTCCACATAATGGTTTCCCCAGCACTGGTATTTCTTGTGAAATTGCAGCGATAGTTCATTCCCTTGAACACTCGTGGGGCAATGTGCCATTTGTAAGAGAGACCTGCCTTCCTCTGTAAGTGTACGCCGGCGGAATCATGGTATGGGAAACCTGTGGGTAAAAACCGACAGTTAAAATAAGCGTTATAAATTTAACTTGAAATAGCCCAATTATCTGTAGGATACTTCGATTAAACCTGTCATCGACCGGAGCGCAGCGAAGGAAGTCTAATTCAGGTGAAATAAAAACTTTTCTGTCTGTCTGTCCGTTACAGAAGTTAAAAATGGCGTCATATAAGGAAGTAAAAATGACCTCATATGAGAAAGTAAAAATACGACGTCCTTAAAGGAAGTGCAGAATTATTTGCGCAGAAACGCGACATCAAAGATTCGAAGTGGCGCTAGCCAGCACGTCAGCCTAAAATATGGTAACTACAGCAAACTTTCTGTAAAGTCCAGCGGCAACGATGCGACATTGCTCGTCGAATGCGCATGACGGTATATCTTGACCCCAGTTGAATTACGCAATTAACGCTCTCGGTTCGTAAAGTGATCTCGAAAATTTATTTTTTTCGAACTTCTTTCCCAAATGGAAGAAAGTTTGACAAAATAAACTTTCGAGATTTAGCGAGTTAATACTAAAAAAATGTATTCGTCTCTCCGTCTTACCGATGACGTCTTGCCGTCTTCGTACTTACAGATACTCGCCTCTCCGTCTTTGTACATGCGCTGAACTAAATAAGATTTCATATATGATATTTCTATTAATAAGGCAAGCCGGATGCATTCAGACAATTTTCTTTTTCTGCAGAAAGGTGGTTGACTAGCTTCCGCACATGTCTTATAAAATTTGGTTGTGTGCAGTGGTACAAAGGGTAGGGTATGGTATCGCGTAAATTCAACGGCTATATACATACTGCCACAGTGCAGAAAAGGCCATTTCCGTGATTACAAACAGTTGTGTTTTACCAAATTTCACCTAGCGGCTCGACTGAGAATTCAAGGACGGCTTTAGACCGCCTCTTTGTGAAAGTATTTACCCAGTGCCGACCAAGAAATGTTTAATTACAGAAATTTGCAAAAATTCTTCATCGGAGCGATTGACAGACTGATTAAAGAGTCGTGCGATAAAAATTTTCTGCGAGGCAACTTTGTAACCGCAGTCTTCAATCACTTAAAACTGCTTACCGCACCTACCTGTAAACAATAAATAAAAAATCAAAAATTTGACACTGATAAAATAAGCTATAGAAGTATCGCATGCACCGGTACTCAGTTCTAAAGGTCCACACTCCACTCCTGGCAAAATGGCGGCAAAATAGGTACATAAGTAGGAACAGAAAAAGCTGTTCTGCACTGAAACGCTATGTAGTGACTTAATTAGTTTTTCATCATTTCTTGTTAAACAACTATAAGTACTTCGCTCGGCCCATTATTTTAATCAGAACCGGTTTAGGGATCAATATATTAATCACTTTTTACTGCATAGATGCAGTGCGGGTCTTACTGCATAGATTGCATTACTGATAAGCTGCATAGACTGAATGGTAATGCATAGACTGCATTGAAGTCAGCCGTGGTTGTTCATGTAGCCGCCCGCCAAAGATGCTGTCAGTCTGGTAAAGTGATTAATATAA